AGTTTTATCGTCTAGGAGACAGGCCGTCATCATCCAATCAGATCCATTTCCCCTTCGATTGCATGCTCCGCACGTGATTAAAAACGACCGACTGGAGATTTTGGTCGTGTGCCCGTGGCAGTCGTTGAAACTCAAGACAAGTCTCTAATCGGTGACAAAAGTCTCCGACCAAGACAGCAAGTGTGCCCGAACTTTAAGGTTACATTTTTAATACTAGAGAAGATGTTCTTCCCTGAGTCGAAAAACACAGTTTACAACACAGCTAGTAGTCAGAGGTCAGCTACTTCCATACCCAAACTTCACGTTAATATCATATTGTCACGATATCATTAGATGATTAGAAAAATTGAAATGAATAAACGTTTGTTTTTAAGGAAAGAGTTTAATTCTGCCCAATGAACAGAGCATGGATGGTGGAACAGATACTTTCAATCCGATGATTAAATTCTTATTGTATGAGTCATTTCCGGTTTTCTTTGCTGACTCAATGATTGCTTGGGGAAGTTTAGATTTATGAGCATCCATTACCTGAAAGTAGTCATTTCGTCAAAGGTAATGGGTGGAATTCCAATTTTACTGGACGGTATAATAAAAGTTTCATCCGTTTATTACGTATACATTTTACTTTCGACTCTCTTTGTAATTCATTGCTAGTTTTTATATTTCTAAACAGATTTTTTCCGCAAATAACTTCCTTTTATCGCTGTTCTGTCTCAATAACTGAACATATCAAGAAGCCTTTGGTTCAATAATGAGGTACTAATATCAATCTATATACAACTAAAGAACATAACTAATGTTATTAAGGAAAGTTGGTCGTCCATTCAGATACCTGCCTACTCATTGTTACAATATGCACGAGGGTCACCGAAAAGTTTGAGTAAATAAATATAGAACACTTGTTCTGCCATTGATTTTATGGTTTTGTGAAGTCGTGCTATTGGGCCATTGTGATATTAAGGAAAATGTTCAGATGATATTATTGAAGTAATAAGATTGATTATCTTTATACTTTGCTAAAACTGGGCCAGTTAGGGTGATACGTCATATTCAAACGCCTAGTCGTTCATATGAGAGTGAGTCTGTGAGTTGTGCAGACTGGTTGCATTCAAGATCCACAGACAGCTGCACACTTCCACTTTCCTGGCAAAATGTATCAACTGCTCTTATATGAAATTACCTGTAGTCAAATCTAGAGCAGGCAAGAAGAAAGTAAAACCCTATTTCAGTTTTGAAGTTCACATTGCGTATGGATACAAAACTTTTCAGTCAGCCCTCCTTATTTATCAGCTTTGCGTTGGCGATTAGTTATGTGCGTGAGATTAAAAAGCGACACGTTGCCGCTACCTCTTTTGACGTCTACTAGTTCCAGATAGTTTCAGACCTCAATTTACGTTCACAATTGGTAAGGTCAGACAACAATAATATAGTCGTTAGCCTCTACTCATTCACATTACTATTGCTTAGTATTTTTTTACTCTGGTGATAAATTCGATATTCGTAGAATTATTAGCCTATATTATTCTCAGTTTTCTTTTTATATCTCGACCATATTTCTTCAATGACCAAGTGTATTGACTATGAAAATGAAATCAAAAGACAATTTTCATCCAGTCTGTCGTCTTATTACTCCTCGTTTCTTACAATACAAAAGAATGGTAGTAACTAATGTCATTGAATTAAGAGTAGAGTTAACATTCTTGTTCTGCTTATGTCTCACTCCGGGACAACTTCTCTATATAAGTAACTTTTGGAAAGTTAACTCCCATTCAGAAACAAGCAGTTCTGATGAAAATTGTGTAACCGATACATGTATCGGTAGTATGAGATAAGAACTGTTTGCAATCATTTGACCAAATTATATGTCCGCCAATTAAGTTGACAAAACCTTTACAATATGAAATAAAACCCACCAAGAACATATTTGGCTTTATGGCCAAATAATACAGGGACGGATCCGCCAGTTTTGGGGTTGATTTGGTTCTTAAATATATGAATGTAGTCTTCAGAAATACTTGAAACGTTCGAAATTGCATGAATCCTTCGAAAATATTACAACTAGGAATTTCATTTTCTATTTCTATAGATGTCTTTTCTATATATTATGTAGTGGCTCAACTAGATGAGTTGTGGGGGCGGGGGAGGACTTTATGACGAATGGGGTGTGGTTTGGGCATGATGGACCCCAGTATTAGTTGTGAATCATTGATACCTACTCTGGTACAGTTTTTTTTAAATTTTGTATTTTTTCCTATTGATCGGGTCCCCGAGACAAAGGTACGATTGCTCAAACGAATGGCGAACCTATCCCTTTAAGCGAACTAGATATTTGTTCATAATTTATCAACTGCGGAAATCACATGCAAATATGTTTTGGTCCTTTTGTAAGGAAAAAGATCAAATTTCACACATTTATCATCTAAATAATCGTTTCCATTTTTACAGATGTTTCACTAGATGAACGGGGCCTGGGGGCTCCCCGGGAATTTTTTTAACATATGCTTTCCTGAATTTTTTCGGGGATGAACGAGAGGTAGGGTCTCTTTGACTTGATTCACTGGCTTCAGTATCATGGACCGTTTTAGACGAAATACACATTCCAAAGATTTTAATTAGAATTCCTGTACTCTTTTACGCTGAGGACAATGCCTTCGACTGGCCTTGATTTAAAATAATTGTTGTTTTTTTTGTTTTTTTTTTCTACTTTAAAACCAATAATTCCATCTTCAGGGAAGCTCACCCTTCTTGACATTTTGAAATATATTTAATATATCTGTAAGGTTATTGGGCGAATCTCTCCAGTTTGGATGTCAAAAGAAAATATAATCTGGAATATTAATGGGTCTTCATTTGATTAGCCCATAATCTTCTTAACTTACTAATACCACGATAGTTCTCAGAGTTCTTATTGACACATCTTCTCTTTAATCTGCTCAATTACTTTCAGTTTCAGTTTTCTTCTTATAATATCAAATATATTAAGGCATGTTTTATAATATACATAGTAATGGGATAGAAATTGGAATGTACACTTAAAATACACTACACTAGAAATGAATGGTAATAGTTCTTAAAATGCAACATGAACAAGATTTGTAGTTTAACAGTATACCAGATTTTCTGTTAAAATTGCTTGGAGGTGACCTGGGCACTGTAAGTGTATATATTTACATACAAAGCAATAATTTCCTATAGAAAAATATGGCATCAACACCCCATTTCATTTATTTATATTTGGAACTTAGTTAACTTTAATAAATGATCTCGGGAACAATCATGTTTTGTTGCGCGAAATGCAAGTAATGCTGTTTAGCCCAATTTCGTACCCTAATAAAGTTACTAGTATTATTATTATTATTATTATTATCACCGACAAGCTTCAGCCTACATAGCTCGGATTACAGTTCGATGCCACTTTATCAAAGTAGATAATACATGTATATAGCCTATAATTGACAGTTTATCTGCACCATTGTTTAAATTTCATTAAATACCTTTACGTGTACAATTTTATGATAACAGTATTATAGTCATTTCAATAAGTTAAAACACTTAATGTGCAGAAAAAATCAAATTAATGTTGAAATTAACTACAATAGAACGGAGGTTATTATAGACCGACATTGTTGAATTATATTTCATGTTCTCTTAATGTATTTTGATTGTTTTGAGTTAAATTTATATCTTGTAAATCGTCATGATTTCAATTGTTATAGATCATGTCTCTCACTTTGTTTTTACTCACTTTTTGTTCTGGAAGTTTTATGGTCGTCGAGAGGACTATAAAAATAAGAAATGGTTGTGCTACCTGACAAAACACGCATAAATATTTTATCTCAAGGGACTTGTTTTGTTCCAACTATTTATAAACATTACATTATTCCCACAAACGCAACGAATGGAACATAAAATGATTTTCTTATTACTTTTTTCTCTGCTTTATCATTCCAGTTTAACAATGTCGGTTGTCATTGTAGAAATAATAGGAATGGTTTTATCGTTTTATCAGACATTATTGAGGCTAGGCACAGCTTCTAGACTTCCTCGCTGTGGTCATTCTATCCGGTCTACTAGTCACGAATTTAGGAAATTATCGACCTATGTCATCACGGTTTTAACCTATTAAAGATGAATACATGATTTTGTACGATTGTATCAATGCTGTACGACAATTTAAAAGTGCCCACTGTATCAGTTTCGTGAACAGAATGTGCCTCGGTTGCTTGTTCACTAACCTACAGGTCCAGAACCTGTAGTTTACTATTTTTTACTATTGTCAATAATTCAGGTCAAAGGGGCTGACATGGAAAAAGCGTCGGATGCTACATTAAACCGAGACCCAATATGCTACAGGCTGTGCAAGATCTCCTGACAGTCTTAAATTCTGGCAAAATTTCACTCATCGCACACATTTGCCTACTCAAGTCCTCGAAATTAAACTAACAATAAGAACGTCTTTCTTCTCCCACCAACATCAGTTGTATTAAAACTGATTAGTTTTACCAATTTACGATTTAGTTTACTTTGAATATCTTAAATATCCTAAACAGGCTTTCTTATAATCTAAACTAATAATTTTTTCCTTTCAAATATTTGCTTTAATCATAAGCTCATAAAGCAGTTGTATTTCGCATTTACGTACCAGATTCAAAAATTATAAGTGTTGGTTGAAATCCTAACCATTAATCAGCACAAACCAATTCAACAGGAAATTACAAATGGATTATCACGTAACGGTCCGAAACTATTGAATTTGGGAGAATTTTGCGAGATCAAAATTGAAAAAATTTCGGAAGGTAGGTAGATGACAAGTTAACGTTCGCTTCCAGCGGATGCTGATATTGCAAACTAGGTAGTTGTTGGTAGTCGTAGTAGTTGGTAGTTGGATTGGTTCAAATTGGATGATTCTGTGTTGCTGGTTTGGTTGTTGATTTTTCGTTAGATCTGGTTGGGTCGAATGACATGGCGGTGAAACTCGGCCCTGGATGGTGTGGCGTGAGTTACTCGATCTCCTTCATTCTTCCAAACTCGTTTTGATCATGGTATTTCTTGTTGATTGATAGTGGAATGGTAGTCGTTGGTTTGGTTTGGTTTGGTTTGGTTACATTATCTGATATCTGTTGGAAAACTAGAAGACCTGAAAAAGAATGAAAAAAAGGAAGTGAGAAAAGAGGGAGGAAAATAAATATAAGGGGGGAAAAGCTTTCAACAAAAGGGGGAAAGATGTTCTGTGATGTTTCTGCAATGAAACTTGTAAAATTGATTGGATATAATTAAAACGTGTTAATAAACTTTGAGTATAAAAACTTAGCCTATCTGTTCAAGACAGATTTGTTTATAAAATGGAAGACTAGTTCCATTATCGTATACCAGTGGTCCGTGGGTAGAGCCAAAACATTCTGTATGGTGAGTGATATGCCGTTGGTTTCCAGGTACTCTGTCAGTGGCTTACGAGCTGGTTTCAGTTCAGTGCATTGAATGAGAACATGCGACCTTGTGGCAAAGTGGCCGCAGCGACATTTAATGGCGTTGAACTGATGGTCTCGTAGTGCGTTGTTGGTCCGGAGTCTGGTTGTCACTTTGCAGATGGCTACAGATGGATGGTTTGGTTTGGTTTGGTTTGGTATCTTCGGATCAATCTGGTACTTGCGGTGTCGAGGTTCCGTAGCATGTCGGCCCATTTCTGGTTGATCCTAGAAGACACGATACTGCAGAATTCCGAATAGGCGTATTCTACAGGCTAGATATCCTCCAGACTCAGACTTTCCTTGGCACAACGGTCTGCTTGATCATTGCCAGGAATGGAGACGTGTGATGGAACCCATATCGATTGATTCCAGATCCTGTCAGCCCTTAGAGAAACATGTAATTGTAGTATGATTTTATTCGTTGATTGCCTATCTGGACTATTCATATTAGATTATTTCACAAATTAACATCTGCGTCTTAATCAAACTACAGGACACTAATCCCCTGATTAGACATCTGAATTCAATGTAGCTTCTCAAGTAAACAGACCCGTACACTTTGATATTATAAACAATGAAGTATTGATAAATCTGAAGGGAAACGAAGTCAAAGATTAGTGTCAATATTTAGAATATCATATCTCTATTTGTATTTCTTTATCTAAATATAACATATTACTTAAATGTTGAATGTTTTATTTCCTACTAATGTCTATTATTTCTACAGGTGATTTGGTATATGGCGACTTTAAAGGTATTTTTAAAATTAAAGATGAAATATAAAGAACACCTCCACGAATTTTTTTTATCAATAAAACACATACACGCAAAGGTGAAATACGCCAACATGGCAAATAAAGCATGTTGCTTGTAGATAGTATTAAACGCTAAAATGACCACTAACAAGTTGAATGAATTCTGTCCCGAATTATCGCCTGTAAATAAAGAACGAGATAAAGCCACAGTCTTTCCCATTCATGCTTAGTGAAATGTTGTAAATGATGATATCGGGTCCTATTTTAGTGGAAGAATTTGATTAAACAAAATGAGATACTGTGTCTGATGTGGAATGAAATAGAACAGCGGTTATCAAGGGGGTAATTTTGAAATTTTGGGGGCGGGGGATAATAAGATGCTTTGTGGTAAAATTTTAGGACAATTATTATTCTCAGTTTAAAGAGAAAACCTATTTGGAATGAGAATGTCTTTTATAAAAATATAACCATGAACACAAATTATTCCTCCAAATTTGTTTTCACAGAGGACAAACTTCAGCCAAAATTGGGGATATTTTTTTGGTTGAAATTTGTTTCTTTCGCATCTTACACCATACTTGACATCATACCTTATATTCTCCCCGGGTTTATACCGTTTTTTTATACCTTCGATCCTTACAATAATTTGCTGACGCTACTATCGCAAAAGCTGCAGCTAATAATTTATTAACAACTTTCATCTATTGCAATAACTGGCTAATAAATAATTATTGGCATTAGCAGCTTTTCTGATAGTGACGTAATCAAACACCAATTTAAATGGAATTGCAAGGCATAGTCTGAGAATTGTAATTGGGCAAATCGATAATATTTGTGCGATTTGTGACTGAAGAATATGAATGGTATGAAAGATGAAGTTTTGGAGTAGCTAGGGGATAAATCCGTCGTCTGAATATTTACTTAACCAGACTCAATCTCAGCTTTCCGAAACATTTAAGAGATCTGACACCCAAGAGTTTTCCTTCAATTCAACAACAAAGTGTCTGTAGAGTCCCGTGAACTTCAATTCAGCCTTTGCAAACGAACCAAACACCGAGATTTTATTCTGAAAAGTGATGCGGACGGTTATATATAAGCTGATACTCCTGCAATTTAATGAAAATATAAAATATATGAGGATATACGATTAATTTCTTTTATATTCGGTACTCTGATATTAAGAGGTCGATACTGCTTTATAAATCATGGCATTGATTGTCAGGTATAAAATATCTTATTGTTCGAACCGCATTTAAGACTATACAAGTTCAACCACATTTATTAAAAGAGAACAATGAAAGTAGATTTTCATTCAGAGAACCAAGTGATAATGCTTTTTTCGTTTTGTTTGCACTAAGCTTTCAATTCTATTACAAAGAAACAGTATTATTGTTTCGTTAAATTGATGAAATTTGTAAGAACGGCCTTCAAAAGAGATCATTGTAATTTTCTAGAAACGCTGATGTTTCCAATTCTGTACTGTCACATTGGTTAAGTGATGACAAAATATTATGAATGGATTAGCTATCTATCATCAATGAATTGGATACAATCGTCCTCAATCAATGTTCCCTACTCCCACGTCGTGTTCAATAGTTTATTGAAAATTTATGATCCGACCAGTTATCGTTACGAGGCGCCATTTCCGTCGTTCCATTATGAGTAGAGTTCTAGATGTAGTTCACGTGATGACAGATAAGTCAGAATTAGTAAAACCAATGGATTATGCTTCGCACAGAATAGCCGAGTTTACTAACATGTAAGACACTCGCTGAGTGATATCCCCCACCATGTACTACGAGTTGCGTGAAAGAAAGTTATCGTTTATTGATATAATTTGATATCCCCATACAATTGTTGCTGTCAGAATAGCGTCAACTTGCCTGAATAAGCTATCAAGGTTACACAATTATTGGTAATACATCATATTCAACTGATAAGAATAGTATTTTCTGATGGATTAGTGCTATCCCTTTGACATCATTCAAAACAAGAGTTACCTTTTATAACGTGGGGATTGGCGAAAAATGGCGAATCTGTCCCTTTAAAAACACCGAAAAGTAAAGTTACAAGAAGCGAATACACGAAATACGGATCGGCAAATATATGGGATGTTTGATGGGCAACGATGTCGACAAAACTTTGTAGTGTGTCCTTTGGTCCACCTTGAATTTTATGTTCCTCACCTTTGACATGATTGACCTTGACTTTGAATTTGAATGACGATTGTTTTTTGAAAATTGAAAAGTATAATTTGGTGTACACCTTTTTTAAAAAATTCCCCTTTTTAAAATACTTGATAATCAATATCTTTAGAACAATAAATTGAAGGGCTGAACAACTAAAGGGCCATTAAGGGATCCCTTACAGTGAGACATATAATGATATTGATAATGCTGACCCTGTTAAGAATAACAAAGGTATATAATGATGTTGATAATGCTGACCCTGTTAAGAATAACAAAGGTATATAATGATGTTGATAATGCTGACCCTGTTAAGAATAACAAAGGTATATAATGATGTTGATAATGATGACCCTGTTAAGAATAACAAAGGTATATAATGATGTTGATAATGATGACCCTGTTAAGAATAACAAAGGTATGTAATGATGTTGATAATGCTGACCCTGTTAAGAATAACAAAGGTATGTAATGATGTTGATAATGATGACCCTGTTAAGAATAACAAAGGTATATAATGATGTTGATAATGATGACCCTGTTAAGAATAACAAAGGTATATAATGATGTTGATAATGATGACCCTGTTAAGAATAACAAAGGTATATAATGATGTTGATAATGCTGACCCTGTTAAGAATAACAAAGGTATGTAATGATGTTGATAATGATGACCCTGTTAAGAATAACAAAGGTATATAATGATGTTGATAATGATGACCTTGTTAAGAATAACAAAGGTATATAATGATGTTGATAATGATGACCCTGTTAAGAATATCAAAGGTATATAATGATGTTGATAATGCTGACCCTGTTAAGAATAACAAAGGTATATAATGATGTTGATGATGATGACCCTGTTAAGAATAACAAAGGTATATAATAATGTTGATAATGATGACCCTGTTAAGAATAACAAAGGTATATAATGATGTTGATGATGATGACCCTGTTAAGAATAACAAAGGTATATAATGATGTTGATGATGATGACCCTGTTAAGAATAACAAAGGTATATAATGGTGTTGATGATGATGACCCTGTTAAGAATAACAGACATAAATTATGATGATGGTGATAGTGATTATGAATCATGATGATGGTGAACATGGATCATGATGATGAGGATGAGGATGAGGATGAAAGTGATCATAGTAATAAGGATGGGATAGATAAACAACAATAATGATGTCGCAAGTCATGAAAAGTTTAGTACATTATTAGGGCATATCGTAATTGGGAAAATTAATTATTGAATAAAACATTGCCTGTGATTTCAAAATGACTCCTACTATTCTATGTAGATGAAAAGGCTGGACGACGGTGTTAATGATATGTGGGTGATGTGATGAAAGAGTTAATCTAGAAAGATATGCTTTAGGAGGCCGCAATCGATTTAAGAAAAATCATTCAAGTCGGTAACTTCAAGACTTTTGATGCAAATATCATGCCGTCTTAAATGTCAGCTACGTCTTTCATTCAAATGTCAGTTGATAACTAACATCTGGTCTAACCACTGTAAATCAAAGCCCGAACCTTGCAATCCAATTGAGCTATTCCACAGCCCCTTCTAAAGTTGAAACCGGATTATAAATCTGGAAATATAATCTCGACCAATGACCGATGTTGACATGTCAATCGTGTGATATAATTATCTTTAGAATTCCCTGCGGTTCATGTTATGCCTTACCATAAGTGACGTTACTATCGAAAAAAAACAGCTAACAGTATCTAATTCTTTGTGAGAGCTACGTCATATAATGCTTAGTTTTAGTGGAATTACAAGATCCAAAGACGTCTGACTGAAAATTGGGAATGGTGTAAATCGATGCTATTAGTGATACATAAAAAAATGACGATAACACCTTTACAATGCCTTTAGTATTTTAGATCTTTAAGGGTATCTTCCTTTGTATCACCAAATAACAATTGGCAGGGGAAACAGGGTTATAAATCCTATGCCGGGATCAAACCCTGACTATTATCCAATTGTTTATACCTTGCAATTTCCTGTTTATATGGGTCGTATTCGTTAGTGATATTAATCAACACGGACTATATCAAAATAGAGGTGTTTATTGTAAATTATCTTATTGGGATGGATTGTGTTTAACGAATAACAACTTCTTCTTTGGAATGATCTAAGTGGCTGTTAAACTTCTTCATTTTTACATTATTTTATCATAAACAATTATTGTTGTAAAAATTGAAATATAACGGCATAGAAGTCGACAATAACCCTACCATGACATTGAAGAAAATGGGTAA